CTTTATCCAGGTCTTTCAGCAGATCAGCCTGGTATGCTTGGAGCACCGCCATTGTGTGCAGCGAAGCAACAGCCTGACCTGCTGCTGCGTATGCCTTGCCATTCAAGCGAGATGTAGTTTGAAGGGGCACGGATGGCAAGGAGGGAGTTTTGAGAGACGATGTCTCACCCCTAAAGAGATAGCTGGCTAGCGTCTCTTCTACAGGGAGCATTCTCTCATAGCCGTTTTCGCACATCGCCTCGATTTTCACATAACTGGTATGCTGAAACCGATGGATGTGTGAGGAAAACGGCCTCTTCCATTCCTTCTCGATCTCAATATGGAGATCAGGAAGGAAAGGAAGGCTCACCTGAGCTGGAGGGCTATGGCCAGAAAGATAACTTACCTCGAGATGACCTCGCAATGTCACTTCCTTAGTCCGCTTCCATGGCAAGTCAAGCCTCGTCGTGGCGCGATCCATAACCTCTAAGAGCTCGTCATAAGCAGGGCAGGAGGATTGAGAAGGCTCAGCCTCAGCTTCTTCGGTCTCTTCATCCATTTCCTGCTCTTCCTGGGCTGAATCCAGCAGAGCACTGGCCCCGGATCAGATGATGTTAAAGAGAGAACATCATCCTCCGGCGGCTGTCTCTCGCCTGCCACCGATGAGCGCGAGGGGGAAAGCCCCTCCTTAAACTCATAGGCCAGGTCCACCTGAGACCCCCACGAGCTCATTCTCCTCCATGCCTCAGAAGCAGCGGGTCCTGAACCGCGGGAAGCAGATGGCTGCCCCTCTTTACTCGAAAAGAGAGACAAACGAGAACGGAGCTTTTTCATTGGAAAAAACTCGCAATGCACGCAGATTGCCCCCTCGAGGACATCGCGTGCATGCTCTTCGCCCAAACAAGCAACACATAGATCGTGTGTGTCATCTGGTGTCAAATAGCGATGACACGGAGGCACACACCTTCTAAATGCTCTGCTAGTGCTCGCCATAATGAATAGAGATAGCTCTTACTTTTTCCTTGGAAATGCACGCTTCAAACAGAACAGTCAGTGAAGACGAAGAAGAGAATGATGTGTGCTCCCGGCGCCTATTTATACTATAGTCGCACCGGTACTGATGTCATGGCTGTCGCCGGCCAACGAGTTGGTGTTTTTTCAATGTATGCTTCAGACATGGGTCACAACGAGGCGTTTGAAGTTCCATGAAAGGGAACTAAGAGTTTTTTTAATTAAATGATTAAATGATCTGTTTAAAGTTATTGTTCACACAGAACAACAAATTCTGTCATTATTAAATCTTTAAGACTTATTTTTTCTTTCATTGTGCTGGTCACTCTTTTCCTTGCAATTACATTGAATGGAGACGAAACCTTTCAAGACCTTTTAAAAAAAAAAAAAATGCTGCCTGTATGAATGAATGAATGAATGATATTTTAAGTTGAATCTTGATCCAGTTCTCGAGTTAAATTCACTGACTAAGTGATCCATTTACAGACATTTTAAAGTTAACAGCTCATTGCTGGGGGACAATTATTAGTGAATAATGTGTCCAATTTGTCTGTTTCTCACTTTAAGCTATTGCACAAGTCAGATAGACCACTTTTATGGTTCTTTTGCATTGCTTTTGAAGCTTGAAAGCTTCAGTCCCCATTCATTGTAATTGCATAGAAAAGACTGACAAGCACAGCATTCGAAATATCTTTTTTTGTGCTCCACAGAATACATAAAGTCATACAGGTTTGGAATGACATGAAAGTAAGTAAATGGTGACAGAACTTTTATTTTGACAAAGACTAATTATGTCATCAATAATATCATGTCGTTCTAACCCTGTAAGACTTTCTTTTTTTCCTTTCAACATGCTGGCCACTCTTTTCCTATGCAGTTTCACTGAATACAGATGGAACCTTTCAAGATTCAAAAATGATGCAAAAGGACCATAAATGTATTATAAAAGCAGTTCAGACATGACCCATGAGAGAAATAGTGATATCTGATTCATGAATCTTTATTTTGAGTTGTATCTTTTTAATGAATTGGTTGCTGGTCACTCTTTTCCAAGCAATTGCATTGACATTTACATACAATTACTTGCTTTTTTGTGTGTATTTTTCCTTTAACCCTGAGACTGTTAACCCTAACAGGTGGACCACTCTAACGAAACTGTCCACCAGCCCCAGTCCGCTCTCAGATGAAGACGATGTTGCTCTAATAACGGTAGAAATGGAACCAGGTAATGATGATGTCATCACCACAAACGCTATTTTGATAAAAGATTACAGAGACAGTTTGGAATACTGGAACATTTGGAATACTGTGCACCGATGAATCATTCATGATAAGACCATGAATATGAACTTAGCAAGTAAACAAGGTCTGTTTTGATTTCACGTTGATCTGAAATTAAAAACCATGGTGCATTATCTCAGATCATCACATTCAGCTGCTGAGTCACTACTTGTATTGTTGATTTCTGCGCAGGTGTGTATGACTCTGAATCCGATGCGGTACTGCTGTCACTCTCAGCTGAAGCTGCTTTGGCCGTGTCCACTGAGGGCAGTGTAGGGGTGGTCAGCGCTCACCTTCAGAAGCTCCTGAGACACTGGGTGGCAGAGCCTGTAGTGGAGAAACGGAAAACCATTATAGGTGAGTAACACTTGTCATGATTAGGAATGTTTAGAGGTTTATCTCAGAAGACGAGAAGACAATGCTTTCATAAGTCTCACATTAGTTAAGCATCTTTATTCATTTGCTCTCAGCCGCAGACAATGCTCTCACAGGCCGCCCACAGAGCATTGGCTTACTGTCTGATGCATGTCACGCACAAAATTACCAAGAGCTGGCTGAAACCTTTCACTCTGATTCACTGGCTTCTAAGGGTGTATTCACACCTATCTTGTTTGGTTCGATTGAATCGAACTCAAGTTGGTTTCGCCCCTTGGTGCGGATATTTTGGGCAGGTGTAACCAACCAACCGTACTGTCACGAATCCGGTCCATGAACTTCCGTCTGCTTGCCACGCAAGGTCACCCTTCCACTACTATGGACCACACTATGCACCACACCACTGTTGCACTTCACCCGGACTACAGTTCCCATCATCCATTGCACTGATTACACACACACAGTTGATTGCGCACAGCACTGATTGCACACAGCTGTCATCAATCACACCTTCCCTATATAACACTCACTCTGATCCTTTCCCCCTGCCGAGTATTGTATAGCATTGTATAGCATTAATAGCATTTATCACTCTCATAGTGATAGCTACTCTACGGAGCCTGTCTAGTTTTTCCATAGCCTTATCTTAGTCTTGCCTTGTCTGTTTTCTCGTGTCCTGATCTTTGCCTGTGTATCTCGGATATCTCGGATTCGCCCTCTCGTCTTGCCCTACTCGGACCTTTGCCTTGTACCTGGATTTATCCCTCTAGTCTCGCCCTGTTGATTCTGTTCGCCGATCGTAGACCCACACTACCCCTATGTATATTCTTGTGTCTTGCCCTCTATATACCTGTTGCCATTGTCTGACCCTTGCCTGTTTCTGACCACGCCTGTGAATAAAGCTTGCACATGGATCCGCACGTCTCACGTCTTGTCAGACCCGTAACACGTACCGAGACCACTTCCAGACGAACTCTGGTACGGTTGAATGGATAAACCAATGAATGGATGACTTTAAGCACATGTGTGGTTTTGTTTACAGTTTCTGGTTCACTTGCAAAAAGGGCAGTGTGAAAGCAAACCGGACCAAACCAAAAAAAAAAAATCAACATTGTATTTGGCCCGGACAAAAGCAAGTGAACTAACGGACTTTCCGTTACTTTCTGGAGTTGTCACTTTGTCTGGTCCCAAAGTTGTCAAATTATGGTACGAAGTTAAGGTAATTAATATATAATACTGTACTTGTCACGGTCTGTGGTTGTAGTGACGCACACAACGATAGAGGTAAATGGAAATAACTGTCTTTAATCAGACTTCAAATCAGGACAAATACCAGGAGCAAGGAGAACCACTAAACAACATCAACACAAGACAAAGGAACTGAGGAAAACACAGAGCTTATAAACACATGAAACGCAATCAGGGAGAACAGAAACAGGTGAGGAGTAATCCAGGATAATTAATAGAACACAGCTGACACAAATGGAACTTAATACAGGAATCAAACCAAATAAGGAAAACTAGGAACATACAAGTGACAATACTATACTACACAATAATAGTATAGTATAGTATAGTATAGTATAGAATGACTGGATGACATACTACACTTACCAAAGTGTGCAGTGCACAACAGAGCTACTGCATGGGATACTGTATCCCACAATCTTATTCCCTTGACATGACCATCTCCAGTGAGATTGATGAACCAGTAATATCAGCCACAATCTCTTTCTTCTCTCAGTATTTGATAAGACTGCCAAGTGTGGAGACATTTTTACACAAAATTAGTGCAAAATAACTGGACAGCACTCATTGAATTAAAAATGCAATGTGATGATGTCCCATGTCAGCAATGTAGTGTACTATTTGACATGTTTATGTGGAATAATGCCTATACTGAGTTGCTTAGAAAACTTAGAAATGTTACCTAGGTAACTACCTGTAATAATAATAATAATAATAATAATATAAAATGAAAAAAAAAATCAATGAAAATATAGTTATAAAATCTTATATAAATATAAAATCTAATTAAAATTGATACATTATTATTTATAATATTCATAAATGCTATAATAGTAACCTAATGAGAATTGTTTCTAAATAATTGCACTGAAATTCATTTTTAAAAAATATATCTTTATACCTTCATAAGATCTAGAGAATGGTTGACAAAAGAATGCTTGCAAAGGTATAAAGGTCTGATAAATGATTATCTGAAAACGAACAAAGAGTACAATAGTGAACTCATGCAAGTCAGATTTAGATTTTTCTGCTAATGTACAGACAATTTGTGCATGAGTAAGATGATGTCCTGGCTGTTTTGTTTCAGACTCTCTGTATTTTGTTCTTAGTCTCAAGGTCAGTCTATTCACAGTTCAAACAAAGGAGCTATGAACCGCATCCCTTATGTGTCTGCAACAATGCAATTAAGCATGTTGGAGCTTAGCAAGAAATTTCCACAAATGCCTATTGTGTAAATGCATATTTATGCAGCTGCATGCATGTCAATAAGCTAAATTAGAGCCAGGTTTCTCCCAGGCCACCATTGCTCTTTCCTCTTATTAGGTGAGCAGCCTGAGCATTGTTGATACACAGTATCAATACAATAACAATACAGTCATGCATAATGTAGCAGGATGCATTTAACCCTTGTTCTGTGCAAAAATGGCTGGTCTTTTAAAAATTGCTTGTAAATCTCACAATATGCTATGTCATCACCAAATCTTGGATTCAGCCCTTTTCTGAACTTGTTTTCTTTCAATCAGCAAGGGTTTTGTATTACATTTTGGAGGTGATCAATCGTAGGCCTCATTGATCTGAGCTTACACTATATGGACTAAAAGTATTGGGACACCTGACCATTATACCAACAGGGCATTGCATTATAAATACATAGACAGTTAGTCCCACCTTTGCAGCTTGCAAAGAAATTGGAAAAAAAGGCTGAAAAAAAATAGATTGATTTCAGTATTTGGTAATATTATAGCCAGTGCTGGATAGATTACTTACAAATTGTAATCCGTTACTGATTTGAAATTACTTGACAAAAATTGTAGTTTGTAATGTAATCCATTACATTACACATTTTAGGTAATATAATCAAACTACTTTCTGATTACTTTTAGATTACTTTTGACCTAACTCGTTTATGACATTGATTTAAATAAGATAATCGTGTATCGTAGAGATAGAAAATATATTGCTTTTGTTGTTATTAATAACATGAAGGGCATTAAACATTACTTTACATCAAGGTTTCACAAACAGGGCTTGTGAAGGAATTGTGGGGTAAATAAAAATGAATGTGTTCAGTAGTTGATGCAATGTTGAAATGTTGAGAAAATAATTCTTAAAACTGAAATAATTCTTGTAAATTATAGCCACCAGAGAAGTCATTGGTCTTTGTGTGAATGTCCACAAAACTGAAACACTTTCTGAATGTATATTAGCGCTAGGCTATTTTAGAAAGAACATTTAAAAGATGCAAAAGAATTACGGAGAATCAATAAATTATAAATAAATTATTGCTTTTATGTGAATAATATGTAATTATGTAATCAATAAAAAAGAAACTGTAGTTTCTTTTCAGAAACTGATTTTCACAAGTATTTTCAAATGTAATGATTTGATTACCTAATTTTATTTTTATTTTTATTTAACCAGAAAAAGACTGTTTAAAAAAAGACAAATTGGGCAGCAATACAATCAGTTTCATCACAAATGTACACAACACAAACAAACTAAAAACACTTGTAGTACATATCATTAAATCATCCTCCATTTGCCAAATAACTTAGTTTACACTATACTATTCTTTTCAAAACTATTTGAATGTACACTACCATTGAAAAGTTTGAGGTGAGCAATTTTTTTTTTTTTTAATCAATACTTTTATTACAAGGATGCATTAAATTTATCAACGTTACTGGAAAAGACTTTCTAGGCTGAACCTCTTACAAAAATATATTTCAGACAGATGTTTTTCTTTTGAACTCTCTTTTCATCAAAGAATCCTGAAAAATAACGTATCACCGTTCAGGCAACTTTCATCAATAAGACATTATATAAGGCATAATGTTTAGTGTCACCCTGAAGGGATTTATTTGTTTTGTTGTGTTAATCTGCTACATCGGTACATTATTCATTATCAGTTATATTGTTTTGTTTGACCATGAAAGGCCACAACTGAATCGGAATCAAGTATCCCAAAAGAGTGTGCCATAACAAGCATTATATAATGCTTAACAGAGCAGTGGTTATATATTCAATCATAATATATGATTACATACTGTATAAGTGTTTGAGAACAGATTTAAAATCTGGTATTCAAAATTTGAAAAATAATGAAGCCTATCCCTTGATCCCCTCATAATTTTCTATCATATCTTTTTATATCCTGACAAATAAACATCACAAATAAAGTGGCAAAAAGGCCAAAAAAAAAAATAAACTATACTATTCTATACTATACTATACTATGCTACGCTACACTAGACTACACTACGCTATAGCTATAAGAAGATTGCCAAGACCCTGAAACTGAGCTGCAGCACGGTGGCCAAGACCATACAGCGGTTTAACAGGACAGGTTCCACTCAGAACAGGCCTCACCATGGTCGACCAAAGAAGTTGAGTGCACATGCTCAGCGTCATATCCAGAGGTTGTGTTTGGGAAATAGACATATGAGTGCTGCCAGCATTGCTGCAGAGGGGTCAGCCTGTCAGTGCTCAGACCATACGCTGAACACTGCATCAAATTAGTCTGCATGGCTGTCGTCCCAGAAGGAAGCCTCATCTAAAGATGTTGCACAAGAAAGCCCGCAAACTTTGCTGAAGACAAGCAGAATAAGGATATGGATTACAGGAACCATGTCCTGTGGTCTGATGAGACCAAGATAAACTTACTTGGTTCAGATGGTGTCAAGCGTGTGTGGCGGCAACCAGGTGAGGAGTACAAAGACAAGTGTGTCTTGCCTAAAGTTAAGCATGGTGGTGGTTCTGTGAGATACTGTATATATATATATATATATATATATATATGATAGTACCCTTTTATGGGAAACATATTCATATAGATCATCTCTATTTTCACACAGATCTCACACACAGCGCTTTCCTGAACTCTGCTCCTGTGAAATCACAAAATAAAATGCGAACAAATGCATCCCATTATTGCTGAAGACCCTAATTAGTTGCTTCAGGTGTGTTTGATTAGGGTTGGAGCTGAACTTTGCAGGACAGTCGATCGCCAGGAGCAGGGTTGGGCACCCCTGATTTACATACACTAACATGCTTGCAATTTTAGGCCATGTCCACACGTACACAGGTATTTGTGTAGGAGTTTTTCCTTCTTCTGTTTTTAAAAAAATCTCATGAAAATGCAAACGCATGCTATGAAGCACTGTCAAGAGCATGCTAAACCAACAGGTGGCGATATAATCTCAACCGTAAAGCCATGTTGGCCAATCAGAAGCCTGAAAAAGTCTCCAGTAGGCGGAGATAACGGAGCATGCTCCGACGTCACAAGCCAAAAAACTCCGGTTTCGCTGTCTACACGACAACACTGCAACCGGAGTTTTTGAAAATCTTCACCCTGGCAGGAGTTTTCAAAAATGTTTGGTTTCAGTGACCTGGTGCTGTGTTTGCATGTGGACGAACGGCCAAACCGCATAGAAAAAGCTGCGGTTTTAAAATTAACGCATTCGTGTGGACAGGGCCTTAGTTGGTTTTTAAAACCCCCCTCAAATGCAAATTAATGTTTTTTTGCTTTTATTTCATGTCTATTAGCTGTGAGGTCATAAATGGAGTGCAATTCTAGAGGTTGAGAAAAATATGTTTTAGCATAAACATAATATATTCAAAAATAATGAAGACTCATGTTCATCCTAATACCTTATATTACCTGACATTAAAGGGTCAAAGTTGCTCAGCTGAACAAGTTTTCACAAACTTTTGCTTTTAAAAGTAGTAAACATTACTTTAGACAGGTCACATGCTACCTTTTAAAAGGTTTAGGGTTGGTAATATTTAGAGGTTCAAGCGTGCTGAAACCCTATTATAATGCCCCTTGGGCGACTTTTAAGGTCAATTAGATGTTCCACAAACCGGTACAAATTTACTTTTGTGCCTGAAGCAATACGTTTATGTAATAAATCTAGTTGATTTAGATTATTTATTTAATGGAATGTAATTTTTTTTTTATAATTTTTTTTTTTTTCTTCTCTCTTCCCTTTACATGTATTTGGTGTATTTTAAATATATGTATGTGTGTTAAGTGTTGTATATGTGAAGCACTACAAAAGTCTGAATTAATTGCCCCAAGGGGATTAATAAAGCACTAAACTATAATTGTTTTTTCAAAGATTAGCATTCAGACATAAAAGTGATCGGGCAGACCAAACCGTAAGGCGTAGAAACCTGAAACTTTGAGAGATGGTAGTTCCCATCCTCTCTTTACAACATTACCAAGGCTCACCCCAATCACTGAAACGAGGGCGCTACAGTGATCAAAAGTATGAAATCGCTCATAACTCCTAAAGTGCTTATTGTAGACTCAAAAGTTTTATATCACTGGACTCCTTGGGTCAAGACGAAAACAAAACGCATATGACAGAACTTTTCGGCTATTTTGGATTTCTTTTAAAACCCTCTTTTGCAAACTAGTCCTAGGGTTTTCGCCCAATCGGAACCAAACCAAAAAAAAATCTAAAATAAAAGAAATAAAATTCATTTACATTTAGTCATTAGTCATTTTTCAGACGCTTTTATCCAAAGCAACTTACAATTGGAGAATACATAAAGCGAGGCAAACAGACACAGGAAGTGCTCGTAAAATACCAAGTTTCAGGCATTTGTTCAAATATGTACAAGCTAGAAAGGGAAGGAATAAATAAAGAGAAAGACAAAGTTTTTTTTTTTTTTTGTAATTTAGAATGAAGTCAAGTAGCGTCGAAAGAGATGAGTTTTCAGCTGTCGCTTGAAAATTGTCAGGGATTCAGCATTCCAGATAGGGGTGGGAAGATCATTCCACCAGCCAGGAACGGTGAACGTGAATGTTCTGGAAAGTGATTTTGAACCTCTCTGTGATAGTAACACGAGGCATCGCTCACTAGCAGATCTCAGACTTCTGGAGGGGATGTATATTCATAATAGTGAATGGAAGTAGTCGGGTGCTTAGCCTGTGGCTGTTCTATAAGCAAGCATAAATGTCTTGAACTTGATGCGAGCCGCAACCGGTAGCCAGTGCAAGGAGATAAAGAGAGGTGTAACATGGGCTATTTTGGGCTCGTTGAAGACCAGTTGTGTCGCTGCATTCTGAATCATTTGTAGAGGTTTGATTGTGCTTGATGGAAGTCCACCGAGAAGAGCATCGCAGTAGTCCAGCCTAGAAATCACAAGGGCCTGGACCTGCAAATTCACCATTGCAAAAGGATGCCAAAAATTTGAAAGATGCGTGGACACTTTTTCTTAAACAGCTATAATTTTTCAACGGAATGAGATATTTACACCAAACTCGATACGCATATTAAGAACTATAAGAACTATTAAGAAATATAATAGGACAAAACATATCTGCTATAACTATGCATCTGTTAGTCCGATTGACTTAAAAATTCACATGCATTGTCTGTGTCTAAGTCTTTGAGCAGGTTTATGTATCTCGAAAAACATGGCTGCCGTTGGCCAATGAAGTTTGAGCACCTAATAGGCAGGGTTAATGGAGGCCAATTGAAATGAAACTCAGTGGGCCTGTTTGACTTATGCCTCTAAAGGTCTGTGAGAAATCTAAAATAAATCAGCCACTGGGGGGCGATATTGCAATTTTCAAGTGTATCTGATGTCTGCTGCCTTGATGTAGTTAACCACTGTTTCTATGAATTTCTGCAGGTGGTCTCCTTACTGTATATGTGTTTAAACTGGAGCTGGGCTCTGCTGTTCCTCTATATCGTTATTCACTAAGTGCCAGCGTACCTGCACCCTGGCAGGCATCATCGTCTACACATGGGGATGTGCCCTTCTTTCAGGTCTGTTTGGCCTCACACCAACACATATAAACACACACATAAATACCAAGATTGTGTGGAATAAATTGAAATGAATTGAGAATGCCTTTAAATTCTAGTTCTCTATTTGTCGATCACTATGAGTTATGTCGTGACTCGACATTATGGGGTCTTATTGGGAGCCCGAATCCTCTCTGATTAAGAGAAAACAGCAATGAAATTTGGCTAGTGGATTTTGCATGCTGAGCACATGGGTATAAATAGGCGACAGGTGCATCCACTCAACAGATTTTTGCTTTGAAGCCACGTGAATGAACACATTTCGTTCCCTGGAGAATGGTGACTCCATCCCAAAACGATCTGGCTGGTCTGGAGTCGATTCGGGGAAGCTCAGGTACACCTGTTTGCCTCCCATGAGTCCTCCCACTGCCAGCTGTACTTCCTGACCGAGGCCCCACTGGTATACAGCTGGCCTCGTGCTTTACGCAAGTATGCATTTCCCCCAGTGAGCCTTCTCTCCCTCCCTGGCACATCCCTCTGGGGAAGGGCCTTCTTTCTCAGAGGCTCGGCACCTTTGGCACCCGCGTCCAGATCATGGGATGTGGCAGACCTAAGTGATCTCCCACCAGCAGTGGGAGACACTGCAACTCAGGCCAGAGCCCTCTCTACAAGTTGAGCTTTTGCCTTGAAGTGGAGTCTGTTCATGATTTGGTGTTCTTCTCGCCGAGAAGACCCCCGAAGATGCACAATTGGAGTAGTGCTTTCTTTCCTGCAAGTAAGGTTGGAGCGTAGGCTGTCACCCTCCACCTTGAAAGTGTATGTGGCTGCTATCGCAGCACATCACGATGCAGTGGACAGCCGGTCCCTGGAAAGGCACGGTCTCATCGTCAGGTTCCTGAGGGGTGCCAGAAGGTTAAATCCTCCTTGGCCTTCCTATCTTCCTATCTCTATACCTTCCTGGCTGGCCTTCAGAGAGATGCCCAAGGTTCCCACCACGCCTTTTCGCGATCAGGTGATGAACCTGCAAGGACTGCCCTCGGAGGAGGCAGATCCAGCCTTGGTGTTGCTGTGTCCTGTAAGAGCACTGCGCATGTACGTGGACCACACCCGGAGCTTCAGAAGCTCTGAGCAGCTCTGTGTCTGCTACGGAGTTCGGCAGAAAGGGAAGGCTGTCTCTAAACAGAGGTTGGCCCACGGGATAGTGGATGCCATCGCCTTGGCGAACCAATCCCGAGGCGAGCCATGCCCCCTGGGGGTGAGGGCTCACTTCACACGGAGTGTTGCCTCCTCCTATGTGTTAGTGCCCGGCGCCTCTCTGGCAGACATCTGTAGAGCTGTGGGCTGGGGGACACCGAACTTACAGTCTCCGCGTTGAGCCAGTTTCTTTCTGTGTGTTGGGTAACAGGTAAGTGGCGGCAAGAGCTGGCCAGTGTCACGCTTGCTGCGCCATTTCCCCTCACCTGGGATGCGAGCGCCTTTTTCCTCCTCCAGTACAGTTCCCCAAATGGCGAACTCTGGTGGAGTATCCTCCAGCACCCCCAGCAGTCAGACTGGGCAGAGCAGTCTGCCGCCAGGCCCAGCATTGGTGTTAACTTGCCCAGGTCTCTGGTCAGCCCCTGTACTGGGCTAGGTGTCCATATGGCTTGATTCCCTTCAGGCGATCCCATATGTGTATTTTCCACGGTACGGTTTCCCTCTCGGTGAACCCGTGTCTTCCCTTTGACAGAACATTCTGTCAGTCTCTGTTGGCAGTCAGTCCATCCCTACTCTTAGGTAGGACCTGCCTTACAGACCCATTCCATATGTAGTACTGCCCCAGGCCTGGGTCAGTCCATATCAGTGTCTCCACATGTCACCTCCCTACGGGTAGGATGTGTCCTCCATAGCGCCCTTCTCTGGAAGGCTTGCTTCCCCATCGTTACTGCCAAGCTGTAACAACAAGTAGGAAAGACTTGAAGCAATCTTTCATTGAAGGTCGAAATCCCTTCTGTTAAGAACTTTCTGCTGTGACAGGGTTCAGGTTGTGGTGCTTTCCAAGGACCCCATTATGTCGAGTCACGACATAACTCGTAGTGACCGACAGATAGGGAATGTCTCAGTTACGTACGTAACCCTCATTCCCTGATGGAGGGTACGGAGATGTTATGTCCCCATGCCACAACCTCGAACCATCGCTGGTTGCCAGGGACAAGTTCTCGGCTCCTCAGCATAAAACCTGATGAGTGGATGCACCTGTCGCCTATTTATACCCGTGTGCATGGGGAGTGGCTCAGCATGCAAAAAATCAACTAACCAAATTTCATTGGCGTTTTCTCTTAATCGGAGATGATTCGGTCTCCCAAGTAAGACCCCATAATGTTGAGTCCCTCCATCAGGGAACGAGGGTTACGTATGTAACCAAGACATTATGCTATGAGATGAACTTGAATTAAGGAGGCAAATATGAAATTGTATTTTGGATTTAAGGGAGCAGAATTAAAATGTAATGAGATTTTAAAAAATCATATTACTGTATGGCTTTGAAGTATATTGTTCATTTTCACTATAAATGTAAACATTAAACTGCACCAGTGTTGTTTTTAGTATTATGTAAATACTATTACAGTATTTATTAATACTATAAAAATGCAATTTTATTTTAGTGTATGTTTTCAGTTTCATTTTAGTTTTAGTTTAAATCATTGTAGTACTTCAACTTATTTAATTTCAGTTGGTTGCAAAGGCAACATTTTCTATTTTTTAAGTTTTTATATTATATTTATGTCATATTTCAATTAATGACAATTATTTTTTTATATTTTTAGTTTTACTTATCAAAAACACTGCATCATAAACACATAAGAACTCATGTTAAAACTTATTTATTATAAATATCCAATGTTTTAAGCAAGCCATCTGTTTAAATTAACCTATTTATTTTATATCTTATTTAATTATACCTTTCACAGGAATTATATCTTATTTAATTATACCTTTCACAGGAATTATATCTTATTTAATTATACCACACAGGAAACACAATTAATTTCTCAAGATGCTCTAATTTACAAAATATAGCACACAAACACAGATTACAATTTAGTTTTTTTTTTATTTAAGTTTACATTTACATTTATTTAAATTTACATTTTAATTTGAAAACAAATGTGGTGAACATTTGTGGGACTGTAGAGCAAAAACAAAACCGGTTTTATGGCTTTATTAAATATTTCGACAGTATTGAAATAGCCTGTCAATACTAAAATATATTTGACATAGGCAAATAAGTGGTGAAATTAATAATGACAGTATTAATATTTTGTCTAGTGTTGAACTAATTAAATTCCTCTGTTCCGTAACTGAATTGAATATCTTTGAATTGCAATTAAATTCCTCTTCCTGTGATTCCAGTTCAACATCCTGTGAGCCATGGTCAGTTCAATTCAGATTCACACTCATGAATTGTTTTTGCCTGACCCTGACAAACACAAACACACTGCCAGTTGAATATTCTCCATTAAGCAAAGAAAAGAAACAATGGCGAGCACAAACAGTCGTGTCGAGAGACAGCTCTGATAAGCCATTTTCTTGAAAACATAATTATGGCTAGCAAATGTGTTTTTCACATCGCTTAAATACCTTCAGTACACAGACAAAAGCCATTACCGCCCGTCTGCTAATGCCTCGGTGAAAAAACAAAGCTTTCCATGTACACAATCTATAGGGAGCCCTCAGAATTCCATCATCCTCGGAGCAGTTTGCGCAGCGTAATGTCGTATCACCTCAGCGCGCATCAATTGCCCTTACAACCCATTCCATCTGAGCTGACAAACACTGATGGATGTGTTGTCACGGTAACAGGCCTACAGAAGTCCCCATAGCAACTTCAGCACACGGATAAGCGTGTGCGTGTCTCATGCGTATCACCCGCGGCCGCGCTGGATGCTGACTCTGCGCTCGTGTGACGACAGCCGACGCTGGAGATCAGAGTTTGACTTCTACGTGGCGTCGGTCGAGCAGCAGCACAGCAGGCGAGTGTGAAAAAAACATGTGATGAAATCCTTTTAAAGCCACATTTAACCCTGTGTGACTCAGTGCCCCATTTCAGCATATCAAAGTGTCTGGAAATGAGCTGGGATGATAGGAATCTGGTCTGTATTTTGGGCAGGAAGCTGTATTTCGCCCAGCACACGATCAGCCCGTACCCCAGTCGTGTGTGTGAGGGGCCGCCGGGGTGTGTGTTCAGCTCTGGACCGGATGGACCCACTCAGGGCAGCTTCTATGCACCTCTACCTACAGGTACAGGCCTGGGTTTTTAATGTACTTGAAGATGTGCATTTAATTTAAAGGGACAGTTCACCCAAAAATGAAAATTCTGAAGTAATTTACTCATCCTCGTGTTGTTCTAAACCTTTATGTGTTTCTTGAACAGAACAGAAAATATATTTTGAAGAAGGTTGGTAAACAAACATTTGCTGGTCAAGCCATTAACTTTTAAAGTATGAAAAAAGAAAGAAACTCACACAGATTTGGAACGACTTGAGGGCAAATGATGACAAAAACTATTGGTAACACTTTAGTTTAGGGACCAATTCTCACTATTAACCAGTTGCTTATTAGCATGCCTATTATTAACCTATTGGTTGTTTATTAGTAATTATAAAGCACATATTCTGCATGACCATATTCTATATCCCTAATGCCGAGTTCACACTGCACGATTTTCAAAGACGTCGCATCACTGTTGGTTTCACACTGAACGACTATCTGGGGTAGCATTCAGTTGTTGCTGTGTTCACATTGCACGATGGAACGACGACAGGAGGTTACACACTGCATGACTTTACAATAGGAAGAATTGCCGACAGCTCTGTCTGGTGCAGGGTTGCCAGGTTTTCGCTACAAAACCCGCCCAATTACTACTCAAAACTAGCCTGAAAATAGCCCAATTGCTTTCGAGGGGGGCCCCAGTAAAAATCGCGTCCGGGGGGTAAAATACACATTTTTTGGCGGGGTTCTCCTGGTACAATTCACATTCCAGGGCCTAAATATCATGTTATTGGGGTCGCTTCAACCTGCTGACATAAAAAACAACCGGTGGCAATCGCGGATTTGGCAACACTGGTCCGCAAACTACATTTCATATAACTCCTCCCCGAACTTCCCGCTGCCCTCTATCTTGTTCTCTCATTGGCTGTAGGTCATCGCCCCATGTGTTTTTCAGTCAGAACTCATTTCACACTGCGTGATTGTGAATCGCCGACAGCTCCAGATATTTAGCATGCCAAATATTTCACGGGCTTCGGCGATTCCCTCAGCGTCTTTGATAATTCACACTGCGCAAAACCTGTCGGCAAGTGAAAAATCGTTCCAAAATTGTGCAGTGTGAACTCGGCATAACCCTACCCAATACCTAAACTTAACAGCTACCTTACTAGCTATTAATAAGCAGCAAATTAGGAGTTTATTGAGGCAAAAGTCGTAGTTAATGGTTTGTTAATAGCAAGAATTGGACCTTAAAATGAAGTGTGACCAAACTATCACTTTAAGGTTTGTGGTAGAATATAATGTTGTGAAAAAAAAAAAATCATACCTCAAAAGTATACTTTTAAAAACTGTACTTGCAGATAATATAGTAGTAATGAAATAATAGACACTTACAGTAAGTGTACTTAAAAGACAGTTCACATTCATGACTATGTTACTTAACTCACATAATCACACTTTTAAAAATTACACTTTGTAATGATGCCAAATTAAAAGTTTTACTTTAATAAATGTAATAAAATGTTGATATTGCTTTAAAGAATGTAAATAGCACATGTAAAGTACCGGTACTTGATTATAGCCTAACTGTAGTGTGATATCCAGTATTACATTTAATGTTAATATATTTTAAATCTACTAAATTGCAACTTCATTGTTAAAAATGTGTAATTACAAATACATTCAAAATGTATTAAAATATATTTTAGTTTGCTATAAATGCTTGTCAGTACATTCAGCAGTTACACTTTAGCCATATATCAAAGACAATAGAAGAAATTATATTTATCTATAATACATTTTCAATTCATTCTAATTATCATGCAGTGTCTAAAATCATTACAATCAGTTCACACTTAAGTATATTCTTTTAAAGTACATTATTTCCTCTTAACTGAACTATAAACGCATGTAGAATGAAGTAATGATTCTAGGTGTTGCTTTAATAAATGTAATAAAATGTTGATATTGCTTTAAAGAATGTAAATAGCACATGTAAAGTACCGGTACTTGATTATAGCCTAACTGTAGTGTGATATCCAGTATTACATTTAATGTTAATATATTTTAAATCTACTAAATTGCAACTTCATTGTTAAAAATGTGTAATTATAAATGCATTCAAAATGTATTAAAATATATTTTAGTTTGCTATAAATGCTTGTCAGTACATTCAGCAGTTACACTTTAGCCATATATCAAAGACAATAGAAGAAATTATATTTATCTATAATACATTTTCAATTAATTCTAATTATCATGCAGTGTCTAAAACCATTACAATCAGTTCACACTTAAGTATATTCTTTTAAAGTACATTATTTCCTCTTAACTGAACTATAAACGCATGTAGAATGAAGTAATGATTCTAGGTGTTATAGCTGGCATTTTCTATTCATGAATATATGAATTCTCAATATTAACTAGTAACTTATTAGCATGCCTATTATTAACATATTACATATAAAGCACTAAAGCACAAAATTGTGTTTGGGCTATCCCAAAACAAAAGCGATTAAGCAACATGTTGCTTCTGAAACATACCCATGTGCAATCTTTCTCATTTAAACACTAAATGCTTAATTTTCTGTCAGTTTGTCAGTTGTTGTTTAATTCTTTCGTAAGTGTCAGCTACATCTTGTATATCTGATCAGCTCCTGCCCAGGTTAAGATCTCCAGGACCTCCGGCTTTAACCCCTGCAGTGGAGGTCAGTGTGGGAAACCAGCAGTGCGTCCTCTAGTGGACACCGGAGCCATGGTGTTCGTGGTGTTCGGCATACTGGGCATCAACCGCACTCAGCACTCTGACAACCATGTTATTGGAGACCTGGTAAGACAGAATACAACTCTTTACACTGAGTGCAGAAGGGAATGATGAAAATATAAAGTCCCTTCATGAAAATGGATAATGGATTAATCATAGTCAACTTCCAAAAATGCCTAGTAAGTTAAAAAGATAGTTCACAAAATGAAAATTTGCTTTTAATTTAAAACTTTGAGAGTCAAAAAAAGCAACACAAGCAACACAAAATGAATACCTGTGGCTCCTGATGGTATATTGAGTGAAAAGAATGTAGATCAATATATCGTCAGGAGCCACAGGTATTAATTTCGTGTTGCTTTTTTGACTCTCAAAGGGACAACATTGACTTGCATTTAAATTAAAAGTAAATTTTCATTTTTTTTTTTCAATTATCCCTTTAGGGGGAGAATCATAGAATCATATCCCTTTGTAAATAGTTAGAGATTTGAATTAATTTGTCTCAAGTCATTTTAAAAGTTGTAAGACAAAGCTATAGGTAGCTGGATAGTTAACTGTCTCTGGTGGATTTTTAAGGTATGAATCCCCGCAGGCTTTGAAACTCCCACTACTATGAACAACAAACAAATGCAAGGCGCCAAAAAAAACAGCTGCAAATCATTTGATTATATTTTGATCGACACCTCATGTAATTCATGGTATAGAACCTCAACCCTTTAAAGCCTACTGTATGATTTTATACATACATTTAACTGAAAACTTGCTTGAAAACTTTAGCTTGAAAACTTTTAGTATAATTCTAAAATATGTCCACCTTCAGCTTGTGGGTTACATGCCTTTTTGCCATGAAATCCTTGCTGATTGTAATGAATTACATTAATAATACTCGTTAATAATACCTCAAGATTAACATTTACTGGACTGAATCAACTTTTTGTTTACTTGATTATACATAGATCTTTTTTTAAATCATGTTAATCATGAGTGTCAAATATATGATCATCAGGCTTTTGTGGAACGTTTATTTGTTAATCTCTCAATCATCACTGTATTGCATCGAATATTTGGGACTACAGAGGTTTAATCATAAAACTAAGCATTTAAATATTGTATCAACTTACACATATTATTGTGAGATACACAGTGACAACTGATATGTATATGCATTTTATCTAATTAGTCTGTTGAACTGTTATAAAGATCTCATTGATTTACATTACATTTACCTTTCGGCCATGTAAACTGTAGTGTACCATCTGCACCAAACTGCATATTTTTGCTCAGTTTGAGACTGAATAAATCTGAGGTGTTTTGTCCTGTTAAGTATGAGGTCCATATTCTCTTATATCTTACTATACGAGCCAGACAATCAAATATGATGCTCAAGAAAATATTTTTCAGACTATTTTTTCATATGTCAGCCTGTAAAGGGTAGTAATTTTACCTCCATCGTTTCAGGATTGTTGATGTGGTCTCAGTCTGTACACTGTATATTGATTGTTTTCCTTTGAAGCTGTTTTTTGAATTATTAATTTAATGATTATTGACCTTCCTCTCCCTCAAAGGGTAGTGTGATCTACGATCCAGACTTTGATGTTTTTAATGAGATCGGGCACTTGTGCAAGCTGTGCAAAACCATCAGTGCCAACACCAAGCTGGTGAAGCCTGGTGGAGCTCAGTGTTTGCCATCAGGTGAGGAGGAACCCTTTTAAATACAGCTATTATTAGATAATATGATTGATTTAAGTGCACTGACACCATCAGATGAGAAGAAAATTTGAACTGAATTGAGCTGGATAATGACGCTAACTTTACAACATCAACACTCCTATGATGAATTAATGAACTGATGATTAAACAACATTAAAACTGTTTTCTTAATGTGAAGCTGTTTTGTATATACTGTATTGTATAAAGCGTTGTGACTTGGCTTTCAGTTGGTCACGTCGTGTTTTTCTCCTGCAGGTAACAGCCTCACATCTATCCTGCCGTTACTCCATCCTGAGTGTCACTCTCTTCCGGAGCCCAATCTTTTGCCTGGCCAGCTATCCCATGGTGCAGTGGGCATACAGGGCGGTAGAGTGCACTGGATCTCTATGGCTTTTGAATCAGTGAGTTCATTGCCGCATTTTAATAGTTCGCACAAAAGAGTCGTTGAGTCATATTAAATGCTTTTATGGTGCTTTTTTCACCCTTTGTGCGAGTGTGACAGCACTAAAAATAGCTTAATTACTTGACTTCTTACACAAGGTTGTTAAGCATTTTTATTAGGGCTTAATGGATTAATTTGCTGCGATTAATTCTGGGGGGGGGGCATGTTAAAATTATTAATGCATTTAAAGCACTCGCACCGGCCCAGACCTGTACATCATCTTAAATTGCATACAGTTGCTGATGAACATGATGCAGGACGACTGATTGCATGATTAAGCCTATGAATGCAGTTACGCATTTGCCCCTAAAATTACAAATATGATGGCAAAAATTTGTTTTTGACTTTGTGTTTAGCAATATCACACAAGCAAGAGTGCTGCTTTCCCCCGAATATCTGCACGATTGCAAATGTAATATTGATTTTATAGAACAGTACAATAAACAAGATGTTAATATTGTGTTTTAGACACAAAAAAATGTCGATATTTTCTGTTTTGCTCAATTTCGCCAATTAAACTATTGTAGTTCTGAACAAAACCACCGCGAAACTGTTGTGCATCTACGAGCAACACAAAGTGCTGTTCACTCATTAGGACGGTGACTTGCAGTTGCATACTGGCAGTTTTAGTTTCATATTTAGAGTTTCATCAAAAATCATTTCATATTTAAAAAAAATAAATCTAATTTAATAAAAAAAAAAAAAAACATTAATGGCAGTTTAAAACCTCATAGCATTATGTATGCAATTCTAATTGTAATGTAAATGCATTCATGCCACCTCTGAACAGTCTTCATAATTACACCTAAATGCCACTTCAGATGCTGCGTGCCCAGACATTTTGAGTCAGTGGACCTTGGTGAAATAGTGTGCATTTTAAAATACACGAGGTAAAAATAGGGATGTGAATTTTGACGTGTAAAAATGGCTTTATTAATTTTTGTCTTAAGAAGAAAAAAATATGAGCAGAAAATATGTGACTGTGATCTGTTATGTATCATACATAACTGATTTTTGTGTTATATATTGTTAAAAATATCTCAACTAGCAGAATACAACGAGCATATTGTTTCAGGTAGAGACTAAGCGATAGTAAGTACATGTAAACAGTACATACACATGCAGCTTCACCAAACAAATATTAAATCATAGTAGATCACATATATTTATTTAGAGAAGGCGTTCTTGGTTCAAACGAGCCCAAACACAACATAACACAACACATAGAGCTTGTATGCCCTTATGTAGCATTGTAGCCTTAATATTTTATGTGTAAAATTGATGTTGAATCAAAATATTTAATTCTAAAGCTATTTTTTTATGTCTATTCAATATGCAATGCTTTTATCATTTAAAACGGAATAGAAATTTAATGTTGTTGTTGTTGTTTGTTTTTTTTTGTTTTTTTTGTTTGTTGGGGGGGGGGATTCCTCAGCCAAATTAATTGATCATGTAATTAATTAAATAAAAAAATGTAATCGCTTGACAGCCCTAATTTATATATAAGGGTTCTTCATTGTCTCTGTGTTTCAGACCACCTACAAGGGAAAGTCTTCGTTTCAGACTCACTCTGATTTCCTCCAATGGGAAAGTTTCCTGCAGAAACAGCTCGCATCAATCCCAGCATCCTCGGCTCTGAGACGAGGCTTCCAGACCTGCCAACACTGGAAACAGATCTTCATGGAAATTATAGGCAAGAGAGTAAAAATAGAACGTGGCAAAGACAGAAAGGAGCTTTGATAAAAATGGCCCTGCTTGAATAAATGAGCAATTTAAGAGCGATTAGTCTGAGGCGCAGACATCGTTAACATGAGTGCTCATTAACTTCACTCTCAACAACTGACAATAATGAATCTGCAGTCAGATTCTCTATTTATATTGCGTTAACCTCTTTGAACTGCTCTTTATGCACTGCCCTGTGACTGTAGGTGTGGAGAGCGCCCTCTACAGTCTGCTGCTGTCACTTGCCATTTGCATCGCATCAGTAGCTGTGTTTACTGCTCATCCGCTGCTGCTGCTGCCAATGCTGCTGAGCATTCTGGGTATGTCATACATGTACAAAATATTAACTATTAGTGTTTGAACTTTTGATGTTTATTTTTGTTAGTTCTTTTTTTTTTTTGAGTGAATCTCCGCTGTTATTTCCAGCCTAAAAATCACAAAAAAGAGTGCACAAAGAAAATGTTATTATGCACAATGAAAGTTAAGCCTATTTTTTTTTACAGTCATTTAAATTTGTTTGCATAGCAATACTATTTTTAATTAAAATAATTGATTTTGTCCCAAAATTAACATTAGTGTGGTGCCAAAATATTTATTTATGTTTTTAAATATTTATACATAATGTAGCATTTTAAAATATTTATGCATTATCTAGAATTTGTACTGAATTAAATTTACTGAAATAATAAACTGTGTTTTAAATATAGTAAAAATACTGCCTTAATGTCAGTGTCGTTTATGATGACTAAAACTATTACAACAATGTTTTTAAATAAAGCTGAAATAAAAAAATAAATACTACAAACATTACAAAACAATACAAATCTTAAACAAAAAGTACAGATGTTGCCTTCGCAAATAACTGAAATAAAATTCATTTACATTTAAGTGCTAAAATGACTAAAACAAAACAGATATAAATTAAAGCTAAATAGAAAGATAAAAAACAAAAACTAATAAAAGGACAAAAGCAAATAACAAAATGGCTTTAATATGAAAACTGAATATATAAAAAATCAATTAATAAATACTGTACTAGTGTATAAATAATACAAAATAAATGCTGATTACAGTATATGATGGTCTAATGAGTCTTTATAATATTATATATTATACATATAATATATTTATATTATGTTGACTTTATAATATTTAATATTTCCTTGGGTAATAATGTCATTTTATTTTTGCATGAAATGTGACCTGGACATGCTTATGTGAGATTGACTCTGTAACCCCTTTTAAATATTTTACCACCATTTATTACGGCCAACTAATTTTCATCGAGGATACTTAAATGCAGCGTCTCCCTTTGGACGGTGCCATCAAATGCCTGCTTCAGCCATTCTGTTGAATTGAATTGACTCATGTAATATGTACTGACGGTGAAAATCATTGCCTTTGAAATGTGCGGCTCTATTCCCATCTCATTTATATGTTAATACAATATGCCAGACATGACCGTAATTTAACTCGCTTACAACCGGGAGTATTATCACTACAAGTGATTACTCAGACTGAACGGATATACAAATTATGCGAAATGAAAAGAGACTGTGAAAATCATCCCACTCCTACGTGCCCAACTAAACAAGGAAATAGATTTCAGAAATGTGCAATGATGCTTGAATTCAAGTAGGGGAAGGAATAATAATAATGGGACAAACGGAGTGTTTTTAAACAGTAGGAAGAGTTTTTAAAAAGCACGAACTCTTGGCAGGTATGGTGTGTCTGGTGGTGGCAGTGATGTATTGGCTGGGATGGGAGATGGGTGCAGTTGAAGCCATCTCTCTCTCCATATTGGTGGGCTCTTCGGTGGACTATTGCCTTCATCTAGTGGAGGGATATTTACTGGCTGGGGACACTGACACCTCAGGACTGGCTAATCACAGTTCGGTATGATTTACATTTATCCATTAGTGTCGAAATCTCCCGTGATGTTGAAATGAAAAGATAGCTCCTGACTGTTTTCGTGATGTGTTCACATGTGTTTTGGGCTTGTAACACTGGAGATTTGTTGGATCCCAGGTAGGGACGTCATTAAAGCTGTTCGGACGCTGGGGTTTTCTTCCAGCATTGTGCCCTAGAGCGAGACACTGAACGCTGGGACGCTGCAGGGAGCTCATTTAAACCGGCCGACTGTAAGCTGCCTTGGATAAAACAGCATCTCCTAAATAAAAACCAAAAACAAGTTCATGCTCTCACTCGTATGCATCAGGTACCTTTCTATATGGCAATGAAGCCCTGTATAAATAATGGATTATAATGGTTGATATTATAACACATTAACAATAATGCAATTCATAATTAAATGATTTTAATTAAAACCGCTGAATGACATATGTTATGAGATATTAACTTAAGGTGTGTTTAATAATGGATTATAATGGTATTCTTGATGCAGTATATTATAACACATTATTCATTAATAATTTGTAATCGTTAGATAGCTCACGTGTGTGAGCTGTGTGTGTTTAAAACATACTCTCCACTGTTAATTCATCAAAATTACTGAGGAAAATGGATGTTAATGAAGGGATTTTATTTGTATTATTATTTTGTTAATGATAATGAAAACAAGGCAATAAATTCATGCCAGTAATTAAAGGGGTCATATGATGCTTTTTTAAAGATCATTATTTTGTATATTTGGTGTAACAGAATATGTTGACATGCTTTAATGTTCAAAAAACACATTATTACACATTTGGGCGCATTATGCAAATATTTCCACATAGTGAGGTAGATATGTGGGGGCGTGTTAGAACGAGCCGTTTTAGGGGGGTGTGGCAGAGTCTTAACTTTGATAAAGAATATCTCTTTGGTTTTGAGACTTTAGTCTTTGCAACTTCAGGGATCTTATCTATGCACAATCAGCTTGTAACACTCAAGAGAAAGGAAAACTTGAAATCGCATCATATGACCCCTTTTAAAAGATTTTGATTAAAACTGTTGAAGGAAATATCACAGCTAGATACTAAATTAAGGTGTGTTTAATGATTAATTATAATGGTGTTCTTGATGCATTAATAATATTTTTATATTTATTAAATGTCAATATATTATTTAATATATAATATATTTTTATTCGATTATTTCTGTCATATATTATATATTTATATTAAAGTTGATTTATCTTAGTTAGCAGGGCATTAGACATTATCGATACAACTAAAATAGACAAAACCAAAACTTCAGTAACAGTCATTATTTTATTTCTGTGTTTAATTTTAAATTACATATTATAATGTATTATGTTAGCTATATACTATATGTTTGTTTATTTGTATTTATTATTATCAATATATTTTATATGTATTTACGTTTATCTTCCGTAAGTCAGAATCGTATCATAACTGTCATTCTGACAAGGCATCATGTTTCCTAACAATGTTTAAAGCAAAATCTATAAAAACGATAGTTGCCTATAAACCAACACTGGTTAATAATGTGGTGGATTGAAACACTTGAGCTGCGTGACGATGACAGGTGATCTTTTACATGTTAACGACATTAATTAGGAGTCATTTACAAGCAGAGAGCTGAAACCATTCAGTTGCGTGAAAGTCCAAGATCATTTGCGATTCATAGATTTCACATCTGAAAGAGAGACGTTTTCTGTGCGTAAATTCATTCTACGAATCACACGTACGCATATTTGAGAGATGATCGTAAGATCAAATTTAGGATGGTTTCTGCGCAACATTTTATAAATGAGGCCCCGGGTCTTTCATATCAAGAACAATTTTCATATTTGTCGTTAAATGTTGATACATGTATGAATGTCTGATTTTACACTTTCTCATCAACTAATATATTTTCAGCTAGAGAAAATTTGACAAATTAATGACTATAAAAATGAAATACTGACTAAATTATAAAGAATATTTTCATTAGTAGACAAAACGTATGACTAAAACAGGAAGCTGTGTAAACATGAACAGTATGACTGCAGCGGTTTTGGAGCATTATTTAATTAAATTCTCTGCTATTGTGAATGTAATCGCTGACAGAGTTGCCAGAACTCACCACAGACGAACTCAGTAAACATGAGGGGCACTTCACTCTTCTTCAATTTAGTAGATCTACCAGACAAGGAATTTGAAAACAAGCCACCAAAGTGAGTGTAGCGAAGCAGAAAAAAGGCAAAGTCAGAGTGTTTTGTGGCGCATGTTAATATGAGTTTTCACACGTATCATTCCCTCTGCTTGGGCTTACAGGAGTCCTCCATCAAACGGCAGACACGGACCCTTGAAGCAGCCAATCACGTGGGCGTTGCTATAGTTTCCAGTGCCGTGACCACGGTGATTTCAACCATTCCGCTCTTTTTTTGTGTCATCGTGCCTTTTGCCAAATTCGGTCAGATTGTGGCCATCAACACGGCCATCTCCATCGCCTTCACGCTCACCGTCACGACCGCGCTGCTGGCCACGATGGGTCCCGGCGACTTCACCCGTCCTCCCAGAGCCGTGCTCAAAGCCGCTCTGGTGGTCCTGGTCGTGGGGGTCTGTGGAGGTGTGCTGTGGTGGACCGGGTCACAGTTCGCTCCGGACACACTGATCTGAATCGAGGAACCAGGGGGATTTCAAGAGAGCGACTGTGATTATTTCAGACGACATGTGTGAACTCTTTGGGAAGCAGGTTTGGGAAAATGCAGTATTTAACATACAGTGGTGGCCAAAATCATTTGAACACTAGTATTCTCAGCAGCTAAAAATGGTTTTAAGTCAGTTATTTCTATCTTTTGCTGTAGTGTGTCAGTAGGAAATATCAGTTTACATTAAAGACAGACTGGATGATAGTGAGATCAGAACTCTGTGTGGAGCCCCTGTTGAAAAAACCAGCATATGCTGGTTAGGTATGTTTTGACGCTGGGATGCTGGTTTATGCTGGTCCTTTACTGGTTTATGCTGGTCCTTTGCTGGTTTAAACTGGTCCTTTGCTGGTCCTTTGCTGGTTTAAACTGGTCCTTTGCTGGTTTAAGCTGGTCCTTTGCTGGTTTATACTGGTCCTTTGCTGGTTTGAGATGGTCCTTTGCTGGTCCTTTTGCTGGTTTATGTTGGTCATGTGCTGGCAAAGGACCAGATTAAACCAGCATCCCAGCGTCAAAACATACCTAACCAGCATATGCTGTTTTTTTCAAGAGGGACAAACAAAAATCTCACTGGATTATTACAAGTAATGGCAAAATTAATGTTTGGAAATGTAAACTGATATTTCCTACTGACAGACTACAGCAAAAGATAGAAATAACTGACTAAAAACCTTTTTTTTTTAGCTCGTGAGAATTCTAGTGCTCTAATAAATTTGGCCACCACTGTAAATGGCACACTGTTATAAATTAGGAAACCCTAATATGTGAAGAGTTTACAGTCTGCATGAAGGTAGCAGATGTGGGAAATGATGTCGGACACATTTAGGTGAAGAACTATCAAGAATCGCTCTGTCAGGGACTTGTGTTTAATGTTAATGTATGACTAAAAGAGCTGACTATTCCTCGGTGTTTTGTATTTTATTCACAACCTGGACTGGAGTGACTCGGAGGGTGGTGAGGACGTGTCTTCTTTCGGTTCAAGCGTGACGAGGCCCTGAAGTCTCAGAAGAGGAGAACATGAATTCTGTGAATTCATCTCGTGTGTGACAGCAGGACAACACTGGAGGAGAAAGAACATGTAAGATGAAGATACTTTTTCATCGTCCTTGAAGGATGTTGTAATGGAGTTGGTGTTTTATGTTGAAGTGAATTATTTGATTTCCAAATCTAGAAGACCTATTGCACGTTTTGGTTGAAGTCAACATGAAATGGCATTCAAAATCTATTTTACTTTTGCAAGGTGACATTTCTGAGTGAAGCAGGATATTTGTTTTATCCAACCCAATATCACGAGAAAACTTTTTACCAGGTGGAAATTAATACAATGTGATTTGTAGAAAAACTTTTTTTTTTTTAGAAAAAAGGAATGATGGTCCATCCCTAAAAAGATCATACAAATTATGAATCAGATCGTACAAATTCTCCACAAGACTGCCATGTTTAAATCGGGAATTGATTAGTAAAAAGTCATGTTCACCCTCCTGAGTATTTTAATGTATCACTTTGTCTTCGGATTGAAAGATTGTTAAAAAGCTGTGTTAACTACAACAGTAACTCTGAAATAAATATATGAAATAACTTAAATTTCCTTGTCAAGTAACTGAAAATAAGTGGAAGTACTAAAATTACTAAAACAAAAACTGAAATAAATATCAATAAAAGCTAAAAAGAAATATTAAAAAAGAAACTAAGAAAAATGACATGTGCTGTCAAATGATTAATCGCATCCAAAATAAGTTTTTATTTACATAATATATCTGTGTGTAATATATCTTTGATTTTGAGAAAAATGACATGTGCTTTCAAATGATTAATCGCATCAAAATAAGTTTTTATTTACATAATATATCTGTGTGTAATATATCTTTGATTTTGGATGTGATTAATCGTTTGACAGCACTAATATATATATTTTTTTTTTGACGATCTCATTAGGAAAATTAAATTTTAATTGTGCAAATATGTACAAGTTTTCGAAAAAGAACATGAAAGTTCACCCCTAATTTGTTCATCAGAGGGACTTAAGCAGATCATATGAAAACGTATATGTGTGCAAAAACATATAAGCTGCTGGAAATTCCCCAAACGTAAAATAATTACAAATTGCCACAAGAGTGTTATTTGTAATTACATGCTCAATAACACCGGAAACTAGGAAAATAGGATCTATTTCTGATTTCATGTTGACTTTAAAGAACACAAAAGCCAACATTTTCCTACCTTAATGTAAGAGGTTACTGTAATGTTTGGTTTTGTCCAAAACCAATGAAGAGGGTTGCAGTACAGATCGTACTGCTTAGGCACTTAGTTGTATTTAAAAACATGTTAAAAAGAGTTTTGTTTTTTGTCTGTGAAATGTTAAGGGTATCGTCTGGACTTTTATAAGATAAAAGTGTAAAATCATGGTGAATTTCATGCTGGTTTTGTAAGATTCTGGTGAAACAAATATTGAGTTCTGCCGAGTGATGTTATGCTTCTGATGTGGTTTGTTAAATTCCCAGTGAAACCCACTGTTTGCATTCGTTTTTTGCACACCAAACGGATCCACTTAACTCCGTCTGTCACTCTGTCTTCATCTTTTTTGATTGTTGCCATTTATCTGTATTTCAAAACATATACACAAAGTTACAATGATCGCAGGTTACCTTCAGGCGACTTGATCATTTTGACCCTTAACCAGCTGTCTGGAAATAATACAGCACTTCAGCAGCAATTCACTTACAGCCACAGACACTCGCTGTCCTCCTAAAAGCTCTCCAATGCAGGATTTCAGCTCACCTTCACAGCTCTATCGGCTTTTCTTTTTTTGATAAATTCACACATTAACAGTTACACAGAATACATGCTGGCATCAGTAGGTGAAATGTACACCTAAAAAAATTAACTTTTGTTTTGCATCAAGAAAATGTAATTAATTTATTAAATAATTAATTTTCATTTTTTTTCTCCCCAAAGTCTATATGTCTATAAATAGTAATAACTACAATATGAAGTAAAAAAATACACTCAATAAAAAAAAATATTGTGGTAAAAGAATCAAAAAAGTATTTAGTACAATAAACATTATTAGAAATATACAATTTATTCATATTACAGTCATAAGCTACTGACAGTGGTTGGTTAAATTTTCTTTATTTTCTTTATGTAAAACAATTTTTTTCTTTTAGTCAGTTTTGGGGTCAAATATGTCCCTGGCATTTCATGACAGTTTACGCAAGATTCACCCCAAAACGGCTTATTGACAGAGATAAATGATTGTTTATGGGTATATCATAGGTAAAATAGCATATTTACATTACAATCAAATCAAAAATACAAAGTTTTATACCTCAATTATTTATAGAATTGAGGTGTATATATAATTACATATATATTTTTCCCACTACATTTTTACTATACTTAATGTGCACATCTTCCTTGGTAAGAGATTTCTCACCAACTTCAAAATGATTAAAACACTTGCTTGACTTTATTTAGCTCTTCCCATCAATTCAGCTTAATTTTTAATGTTGGAAACGGTAGATAGGCATTAATAATGCACTGTGGTGACCATTCATAATTGATGATCTGTTATATAGCAAATTCAATACTGATATGTGGTTTATTTAGAAATCCAGTGTCACCAAGACGAGCAGGAGAGCCAAAGTCCATCCTCAATGTGAGCTCAAGACCTTGAAACCATCAGCAACCAATGAAACGCCTTTAATACATGTAGGACTTTTCATTTCAATGTTCAGCTTCTAGTTGAACAACACCAGTTATATCAGAAAAAAAAAATCACTGAAAGCATTCAAAATTACATGATAGAGCACTTTGCCTTGAATTTGCTCTAACATAGTACTAACTACTGTAACTTAATTGGTATATTTGGGGCTTTATTAAATTAATTAAATGGTCAGTCAATAATTCCTGAGTCTACAAGACAAAATGTGATGAAGCATTTCAAAATGAAAATAACATTTTATGAAATAGATGCACTTGTTAACACTATGTGCAATACATAGGTGAAAATTAGCTATACAATATAAATAAATTGCATCTTTTGTCTGCAATTACACATAGCCTTCATCAAGTTATCTGTGGTTTAGTGTACTTTGAATACATTAATACATATTTACATACATATGATAAAATGCATAAACATGTACCAAGTCTTGTGTGGGAAGGCCAGTCAGGGTGAATAAATCAAGCATAAACTATTTATGCTGAGGTAACGTGCTAAAACAGATCATTTGAAGCCCGCGTTCGCCCACAAAACACTTTATTTCTAACAAAGAATAACATGGGCATTAAAAACATTAATAATGCTTAGGAGGATGTGCTTCGATTAGCAAAATGTACAAGTGCTCCACTACTCTAAAAAGCTATGCTAGGAAGCATATTAAAATACAGAGATGCTAAACTGGGTATCTTAGACACACAAAATAAAATCCATTTGAAGAACTAGGATAGAAGTTGGTCGATCTTGAGCATATGAGGGTAAGCTTGCAAGATCGTATATCGAGCAACTTGTTTGGTCACAGCACTCGTGGCTTGAGGTGAACTGATTCAAGGTTCAGATGGAAGGCATTGTCTAAAACCTTTTAAAACCCCAAAATGTGTCCTCTAAATCCCATAATCCTAATAATTTGCCTTCCTGGATCTCACACATCCAAGTCAAACAGTAACCAAGCCCTGCAACGATTAAAATCTAGTGTCTTGGAATGATTCAGTGGGTAACAACAATCAGATATCCTGAACCTGAGATTTAAAAGAGCTTTAGGTAAATCCACGAAGGCAAACAGGTGTGAAATTATATTATATGATGAAAAGAGCGGTTGAGACAGAGGAGACCAAGTCAACAGCCTTTGAAGGGGTTCTGCAGGAGACAGAAAGCGAGAGAGGTAGGGGTGATCCTGGAAATGGACTGCGCTAACACTTCAGATCAAATGATCAGCCCTGGAGATCATGCTATTCAGCACTATTCCACACAGATTTGACATCAAACATGCTCTTTTCCCAACCGACACTGGATATCAAGGGAGAAAGAGTGACTGAAAGGACTGGGGCACAGGATTCATTTGAAATAGCACCATCCCACCACACTTCCACACGCTGAGGTACGTTATTGGTACAAATTAACATTTGACAGTTTTAACAGTTTTCCCATCGTCAGCGGTGTAAGAGTAACATCTACCTAGCAATAGCACATCTGAGGACTGCTAAAAAGTACAGTCCTTTCAGGTTTTAACTTAAAATTGTATCGAAAACGAGACAGATAGGTCTCTCATTAGGGTTTAGGTCTTGAAGAGATAATTCACCCAAAACTGAAGATTTTGGCATCATTTACTCAACCTCAAATGGCATTGTTCCTTTCTTTCTTCTGCAGAACACACACAGAAAGATATTGAGACTTTTTTTGTCCATACAACAAAAGTCAATGGGGTCCAACATTATGTTGATTTGGAGTCATTGTATGGACAAAAACATTCTTTCAAATGTATCTTTTGTATTTCACAGAAGTAAGTAATTTACTCAAATTTGAAGTAAATGATGACAGAATCTTTGGCTGAACTACCGCTTATCTACATTTTTTACATTGACTACCCTGACTGAGGTCCTTACACTTGTGATGCTAGATTTGAAAACAAACTTTCGGTCATGGACTGCAAGGAAAGAGCCTGAAAAAGAAAATAAAAGAATACAGCTATGGGATGTCAGGACACAAAAGGGCCCACCAATTTTCATGCGATTGTGCCTAATTTGTTCATGATTGGCGATGCACAGAGAGAGTGTTACGAGGACAGCACCACATTATAAAGACCTTGAAAAAAAGTGTACGCTTAATCTAACAAAATCTAAGCATTTTCCACCGTACCATCCTGTTTTTATGCAAAAGCATTTAACAGCCATCAGACATGGGCCACGTGTTGTTTATTGGTCTTTTAATGTGATAACTGATTCTAAAAAACCTCCTCGAGAGAGTGATAATTTTGGGCAGGGAACCTTCTGGACTACTGGCCTGGAAAATCGAGTTATTACAAATGCTGGTGCCATTACGTCCACATTTCCTTCTAGCTGTACCACATGGATCTCTGTGACATACAGTGTCATTTGCTCAAGTAACGACAAAGAAACCGGCCCACAATGGCCTACTAGACTCTTTATGAACAAGCAATGCCAGTTATGTCAAGAAGAGACGGTTGTTTCCCCACAGTGCAGCGGTAAATCTCAAGTTGCAAGGTTGGAAAACATGCGAGGAACACCGTCCTGAATGCCCCTGCTTCACTAATTTCTCACTTCCTCTATCCCACTGTTGCACAGATGACTGGTTTGGTGAGTTTGCTCAGTTCTCCTGCAGGAGTTCCTCAGTGTATTTGTGTTTTTCAATGCACTCTTGGCTCATGAAAGGTGAGAAAAGGGGGGGTTCCAGTATCGATCAGCTATGCCCACCTTTCCCACCCTACCCTTTTGATTTCGCCCCTATATTGGTATCCAGCAACTGAATACATTCCACCCCCTCCCCATCTTGCCCCAAATGTAATAATTAAAAAAAGGTAAAAACAAGGTCTACTGCGGAATGGCTTTACTCCTCACAGTCAGTAGGGTATGCCAGAACCCCTGTGAACTACTGAGGTGCGGTTGGCATTCTTGCGGCTGGTCCGTCGAGTCTGGGTGTTCTTGGCGGCCGGGTGGCTCTGAGCGATGGGCGAGGCCCTCCCCCTGGGACCCTTTCGCTTCCCCCTAGGCCCTGCACGGCCCCTCCCGGCCACTAGGGGTCACTTCTTACGGGAGTGGAGTGTGTCCTGAAACTTGGTGCTGGTGTAACGCACGTGGAAGCCCTTCTTATTGATGGTGTCATCTGAGCGGAATTTGATGACGATGGAGTCGCCGGCAGAGTAGATCTCTTCTGGAGGCTGGAAACACAAAGATGGAGGAAGACGTGAGTAGGCTAGATAGAACAAATTCCCTTTTATTACATCAATACAACCTCATCAATCCTAGTAATTGACATTTTAGTGCAGTGGTTCCCAATCCTGGTCCTGGAGAACCCAACACTGCACATTTTTTATGTCTGTCTTATCTGACACAAACATTTGAGGTCCTGGAGTCTTCACTAATGAGCTGATAAGTTGAATCAGGTGCGTTTGATTATGGAAACAACTAAAATGTGGGGGTTCTCTAGGAGCAGGATTGGGAACCACTGTTTGGGAACTACTTGGGGTGTCCAAACCTGTTCCTGGATGGCCACTGTCCTGCAGAGTTTAGCTCCAACCCTAATTTAACACACTTGAACCTGCTAATCAAGGTCTTCAGACTCATGGTGCGTTCCAAATGGGATATATCGCCCTCCGAAGGGCACTTCATGAAAACAATCATGGCCACCATATTGAAGGGTCGTTCCAAACCAAAGTGCTCAAAACTGGCCACTTCAAAGGGTCCATCGGAATGAAGGATTTCGAAGGGTACAACTGATGGACACTTGGGGCTCCCATGATCCTTTGCGCAGATTCTTTGCATGATGACGGCGCCTCCGTGTGGGCACGTGAGAAGGGCACTTCAAGAAACAGTTGTTTTGTCCCCTACACCCTTCAACCCTTCAACCCTTCGAAGCTCTCACTCCGGAGGGTAAACCCTTTGAAGAGATTAGGGCATAGGGATGAGCCCTTCCGAATGGAATGCAGGGTGTATCTCCACACCAGGAATATTGGAACTCTTACTATTAACTATGACTTTTGCCTCAATAAACTCCCAGTTTGCTGCTTATTAATAGTTAGTATTTAGAGTTAGTAAGGTAGTTTTTAAGTTAAGGTTTGTGGTAGGACTAATTGATCTAAAATATGGTTAAGTGCTTTATGAGTACTAATAAACAGCCAAAATGCAAGTTAAAAAAACAAGTTAAACTAGTTAATAGTGAGAACTGGTCCCTAAACTAAAGGGTTACCACATACATATAATTTTTGTTTTGATTATATGCATTAACTTACTGCTCAAGCCGAGAAAATGATTCATGTCTTATGAGTCTGGCCTTTTATTTGAACCAAATAACATCTGACACACTGAATATTTCAGTTTTAAGACCCAAGTGTTATTTGCGAGGTAAAATTGCAAGGCATGCATTTCAATTATTCACTCTTACCACAAAATGCGAACAGCCAGAGAAATTTCAATGCAATGTACACTAGTACTTTCCCGCTCTGCTAATCACATAATAGAAATCTTAAGTCACTCAATTTACCCCAATGAATGAGCCAAGCTCAAAATGTCTGCACTTCATGTCAAGCGGCCACTGAAAGCGATGAATTATCCATATTGCAACTGTAGTTTCACACAAAAGCCATTATAATTCTGTAGAGGTGGCGACTGACATGGATTTTTGAAGATCTGTAGAGAGGTTCTTCAGGAGCAACTCTAAACTCTTAGTTTTAAATGGAGGTAATCTATGGATCAGATAAAAAACTCTGTGCACGTTTCCTCACAGTGGGAGACACAGTAATGTATTCCATTGAGCTGGAGGGAACCTTTTCATGTGAGGGGGCAAATCATATGGTTATTATTCAGTGTTTGGCCATGTAAAGTGGTTCCTAAGGGGTGTGGGTGGGGGGATAAGAAATTGTACTAGCAGAGTTTTGAGCAAATATGGAAGCATTTAATGTACTGTAATGGAGTATCGGGTCTTCAAGTTCATAGTGAAAATGATGAAAAACTATAGTCGCTAAGCAAATCGAATCAACTCTGCAAATTCACAGAGAAAGAAAACTGCAATAGCCTTTGAACCCTAGTCATAATGGCCACATAAAATCAACCATTTTAAATGAGAACTCTGGTGCTGCTAAAACTTCTTATGCATCAGCAACTTACTATTACTACTTTCCTGCGGTTTTGATCATCTGTCTAGAAATACCAGCTGAGGATCTCAAAGTTACGGTTTGCACAGATGACTGGTTTGGTGAGTTTGGTTGACTGCTCTGGTCCTCCTGCAGGAGTTCCTTAGTGTATTTGTGTTTTTCAACACACCCGGCTCATGAAAGGTGAAAAAAGGAGGGGGGTTCCAGTATCCGATCAACTACGCCCACCCTTGATTTCGCCCCTATATTGGTATCCAGCAACTGAATACATTCCACCCCCTCCCCATCTTGCCCCAAATGTAATAATTAAAAAAAGGTAAAAACAAGGTCTACTGCGGAATGGCTTTACTCCTCACAGTCAGTAGGGTATGCCAGAACCCCTGTGAACTACTGAGGTGCGGTTGGCATTCTTGCGGCTGGTCCGTCGAGTCTGGGTGTTCTTGGCGGCCGGGTGGCTCTGAGCGATGGGCGAGGCCCTCCCCCTGGGACCCTTTCGCTTCCCCCTAGGCCCTGCACGGCCCCTCCCGGCCACTAGGGGTCACTTCTTACGGGAGTGGAGTGTGTCCTGAAACTTGGTGCTGGTGTAACGCACGTGGAAGCCCTTCTTATTGATGGTGTCATCTGAGCGGAATTTGATGACGATGGAGTCGCCGGCAGAGTAGATCTCTTCTGGAGGCTGGAAACACAAAGATGGAGGAAGACGTGAGTAGGCTAGATAGAACAAATTCCCTTTTATTACATCAATACAACCTCATCAATCCTAGTAATTGACATTTTAGTGCAGTGGTTCCCAATCCTGGTCCTGGAGAACCCAACACTGCACATTTTTTATGTCTGTCTTATCTGACACAAACATTTGAGGTCCTGGAGTCTTCACTAATGAGCTGATAAGTTGAATCAGGTGCGTTTGATTATGGAAACAACTAAAATGTGGGGGTTCTCTAGGAGCAGGATTGGGAACCACTGTTTGGGAACTACTTGGGGTGTCCAAACCTGTTCCTGGATGGCCACTGTCCTGCAGAGTTTAGCTCCAACCCTAATTTAACACACTTGAACCTGCTAATCAAGGTCTTCAGACTCATGGTGCGTTCCAAATGGGATATATCGCCCTCCGAAGGGCACTTCATGAAAACAATCATGGCCACCATATTGAAGGGTCGTTCCAAACCAAAGTGCTCAAAACTGGCCACTTCAAAGGGTCCATCGGAATGAAGGATTTCGAAGGGTACAACTGATGGACACTTGGGGCTCCCATGATCCTTTGCGCAGATTCTTGCATGATGACGGCACCTCCGTGTGGGCACGTGATGATGACGCAGAAGGGCACTTCAAGAAACTGTTGTTTGGTCCCCTACACCCTTCAACCCTTCAAAGCTCACACTCCGGAGGGTAAACCCTTTGAAGGGATTAGGGCATAGGGATGAGCTCTTCCGAATGGAACGCAGGGTCACTAACCTTCTAGTCAAGTGTGTTGGAGTTGGGTGGAACTAACATCTGCAGGACGGTGGCCCTCGATGAGTAGGATTGGACACACCTGGTCTAGAGTGAGTCAGCATTGGGTTAACAGGAGTCAGAAAGACCACAAGTCAGAAGGTGAAAGCTGTTCCAAAAAGCAGGCATGAAAATTATCTTTTTATATAGGATACCTTGTTTTGGCTAATCCCATAATCCACTGTGATGAATTGAAAATTTTCTACAAAAAAATATATTTTAAATACAGAAATAGCTTATTCAATACTGAAAAGTAATAACAGTAGTTCCACGTAATTAAAAATGAACTAATTCATCCAATATTTGTGCTTACAAGAGTAGTCTTTAGCTTAGCAATATGCTAACATTTGAATGTTTTGGAACCATGAGTTCTAGTTCTAGTATTTTGTGGGCTATTTGAGTGGCACTTTATTTTTTGGTGTGGATGCTTCCTCGAGTCCAAAGTACAACTCAGTTTTGATGTGAATGCTTAGCGTGTAGGTACACTGGAACACAGTTATATACTCAATTTGATGGCGTGCGCAATCACAGGTGCTTTTTCTCTCCAGAATTTCTGACCAATAAAAGTGTCTTTTTACTTCTTTAAACTAGAGTTCTGTATTTCTTCTTTGATTTTGAAACAATGGGCCGGGTCAGTGTCGCCACCTTGTGAACAAAAAAAATAAAAATTAAGGTGCAAAATATGTAATATGTATGTGTGTACTGTATCTCTGTACTATGTTGATGATAAAATTTGCATTGTGCACACTGTGTCAAAAATGAGGTATACATTGAGCTTTAAAAGGTATCTGCCTATGTAGATAGTGAAAAGTGCTTCACATAAGAACCAAAATCTCAAAGCATTTGATACGGTTTTAGAGTAGTTTCCATTGTGCAGTGGCTCTTTTCTGACCAAGCTTAAATGGGTTATTTTGGGCTGTGACAGCCTAATGTGGCAGCACACTTAAGCTCATGTTGCTCGAGGGACATATTCCCTGCTGTTAGTAAATTGTCAGTTGCTTTGGATTAAAAGCATGCTCTAAATGGCAAGCTACCAAAACTTGATTGAGACAAATGCACACTGTCTAACATCCTCTTGGTTCAATTTAAACAAATCTCTCGGTCGATAAGCAGGTTGCACCCATCGCAGTATCAGAATATCATCCGATTTACCTTGTCTAAACTCAGCATCAGTCCTTCTCGTTGAACTGAAGTAAATGTAATCATGCTGTTCTGTGACCTACAGAGCTGATCTCATTCATACACACACACACACACTTCAGAGTTCTTACTGTTTCAGCGATTTTTGTATGATTTGTATGTTTCAGAGATTTTGTATCTCTCCAGAACTAGAAATGAGGAAAATCCCTAACGGCCTCTTTCAAAGATCATTGTTTATCCTGTAAGGCAATGGTTCTGAAGTGGTGGATTGTGTCCCAAAAATGGGCCACAGGTCTGTTGTAATCGGGTCATCGACAGCAAAGTAAAACGGGACTGTAAGGGCCAGTGAACACAATGTCCGACGGCTCGTAGCAACCAATCAAGCCTAACAAAGTAATTTGAGTGAGAAAGGGCAAATAAATGTGGTTCTGCATAAGCTGCACTAATTCACAAAGAATACTGCTGGTGCTGTGTGATTGGTTGCTTGGAATTTCTTAGATTGAACTTATTTGGAGCTTTAGAAGGTAGCTGCCTATGTAGACAGTGAAAAGTACCTATAGGGCTTCACATAAGAACCTAAACCTCAAAGCATTTGATACGGTTTCAGAGTAGTTTCCATTGTGTAGTGGCTCTTTTCTGACCGAGCTTAAATGGGTTATTTTGGGCTGTGACAGCCTAATGTGGCAGCACACTTAAGCTCATGTTGCTCGAGGGACATATTCCCTGCTGTTAGTAAATTGTCAGTTGCTTTGGATTAAAAGCATGCTCTAAATGGCAAGCTACCAAAACTTGATTGAGACAAATGCACACTGTCTAACATCCTCTTGGTTCAATTTAAACAAATCTCTCGGTCGATAAGCAGGTTGCACCCATCGCAGTATCAGAATATCATCCGATTTACCTTGTCTAAACTCAGCATCAGTCCTTCTCGTTGAACTGAAGTAAATGTAATCATGCTGTTCTGTGACCTACAGAGCTGATCTCATTCATACACACACACACACACACACACTTCAGAGTTCTTACTGTTTCAGCGATTTTTGTATGATTTGTATGTTTCAGAGATTTTGTATCTCTCCAGAACTAGAAATGAGGAAAATCCCTAACGGCCTCTTTCAAAGATCATTGTTTATCCTGTAAGGCAATGGTTCTGAAGTGGTGGATTGTGTCCCAAAAATGGGCCACAGGTCTGTTGTAATCGGGTCATCGACAGCAAAGTAAAACGGGACTGTAAGGGCCAGTGAACACAATGTCCGACGGCTCGTAGCAACCAATCAAGCCTAACAAAGTAATTTGAGTGAGAAAGGGCAAATAAATGTGGTTCTGCATGATAAGCTGCACTAATTCACAAAGAATACTGCTGGTGCTGAGTGATTGGTTGCTTGGAATTTCTTAGATTGAACTTATTTGCATTCAGGTTTTGATGTTGTGGGCTTCAACTGCCAGTTAAAGGTATAGTTCACCCCAACCATTTGATTCATATAGATGACTTTTACGATCTATTATCTTTGTGGAGCGTCAAAATTTAGGTGGAAGTGACTTTTCAATGAAGAGGCAGAAATCTCTCACGATATCATGATCTGAGTTTCAAAGATGATTTGCGTTTTATGAGTTTGAAATGACATGAGGGTGAATATTTTCGTCAAACTACCCCTTTAAAAATCACTTTTATCACAAGTTGTTGCCACAACTTCTGACCTGAAATGCAGGAGTATTTTGATGTTTGTTGATTTTATGCAGTAAATCTAAATCGGTGCTTTACCCCTGATCCACAGTAGCGGCCTAGCCTGGGTGATTTGGTGTCCGCCCCATCAAACAGCTCCATGTAATCATAGCCACAGTCGGCCTCCTCCTCGATTTCGAAGGTCTGGAAGATGAGCTCCACGCCGTAGCCCTTCTCTGCTGTGATCACCCACTGACAGTCGGACGCCCCGGGGTAGTTATTATCACCAAACTGGGCATGAGAGTAGAGGTCTTTAGTTTTCACCTCTGCTTTCAGACGGCCTCCACACTCTGGAGAAGAGAAGGAAACGAACGTGAGAAAGACCATTTCACGTTCCAAAAAAACATTCACAGGTGCATTCAGCATCTCAGCATATCACTGCAAGTCAATAGTCTCTAGTAACCAGACTTGTGGCTGAGACTAGCACTCAATGATATAAACATCAGAGAGTTGCTACAGAATACTTACATTTTTATGTACTAAAAATACATGCTATACATTTGAGATTCTCAAACTTTTTTGTCAGCTAAACCCCTTTGACACTTAAATTTTAGGTTAATATTTCAATAATTTAACAAGACATCCGCATGTTCATGGTTTTCTAATGTTGGTTAATTGTCAAAATATACACAGGTAAACAAATAAAATATTTAAATGTTATGCTTTAATTAATTTTTAGCTTTTCATCAACTTGCAAATGTCCTCCAGTTCCCACACGAACCCATCTGGGTAAAACTCAGCATTAATATAAAAGGGAAAATATATCTCTAAAATATGAATATATTAAATATACATTGAATATGAAATATGAATTTGAAAATCTGAACTTGAATTGCAAATTTTGCAACCATCACAAACCATTCAAGCCATATTTTATCATTATTGTCTAGGAACAAAATAGTAAACAGTTAAAATATAGTTTAAAAACCGTTTTAAAAAATTCTTGGCTGCCATAAACATTCAACATTTTGGCTGATGAACTATACTGCTTAAGGAAATTTTTTTTTAATTATTAATATTAGAAAAAGTCATTATTTATTGAACTTTGGTGTCATTTTTAAAAAGCAATAAGCCATTTGAACCATGTGCTTCAGTGATTTTACCATGGCCTGTTGTTAATGACACAGCAGAGCAGAGCAGAGCACTGCACGGTTATTGTTTTATTTTATAATTCCAGTATTTAGTGGTACTGTATTTAACAGATGGATGTGCTCACCTGCAGCATGGGAAGCCTCGAAGCCTTTCTTCTGCACTGAGTTATCAGAGAAGAAGCGGATGAACATCTTGTTGCCGGAGGATATGATCGGTTGAGGTTTCTTGGTGCCACAGTATCGTCCGAGGCTGGGTGCCTTCCCATCCCGACCGTCGTAAATCTCTATGTGGTCATAAGTACATTCCAGATGAGGCTCCATGTCGATTTCATTGAAAGCCTGAAATATACGGCCCATGTCAACGTTTGAACGGCAGACACTATTATACTATTATAATGAACAGGGAAACAAGACTTCTTATGAAATTGAGTTCCAAAAGCTAGTGAGCCTATAGACAGCTATCTTCTAAGTCAGTGGTTCCCAACCCTGGTCCTGGAGGCACCCCAACACTGCACGTTTTGCATGTCTCCTTAATCAAACACACCTGATTCAGGTCATCAGCTCATTAGTAGAGACTCCAAGACCTGACATTGGTGTGTCAGAGTAAGGAGACATGCAAAATGTGCAGTGTCGGGGAGCCTCCAGGACCAGGGTTGGGAACCACTGTTCTAAGTGGCCGTTCACAAAGAATACGTTTTTGGGTTTAAAAACATGAGACAGAGTGCAGTGGACTTTTTAAAAAAAGGATAGACTAGAGTCGTTTTTAAAATTTGAAACGCTGTGTTTTTAGGATGGTGTATCATGCATGAGATGATGCAACAAACACGTCCATCTAGTGCATGTTCAGATAGAAAAACAATGCAAAGTGGAATGCAAAACTGCGTTGTGTGAACGACCCCTAAAGGGCCATTCACACAGAACTTGTTTTTGTGTTTTATTTACTCACCCTTCACTTGTACCTAACCTGTATGATTTCTTTATTCTGTTGAGCACAAAAGAAGGTATTTTGAAGAATGTTGGTAAGCAAACAGTTGACAGTAGCCATTAACTTCCATAGTATTTTTTACATACTATGAAAGTCAATGACTACCATAAACTGTTTGCTTACCAATACTCTTCAAATGTTGGTACTGTTACCATTAACTATTTGGTTTTCATGTTGGTCACCAAACAGTTCATGGTAGCCATTGACTTCCATAGTATTCAAGTAGCCATTGACTTCCATAGGGGAAAAAATACTATTGATGTCAATGGCTACTGCCAACTGTTTCTTCAAAATATCTTCAAAACTTCAAAATATCTTCTTTTGCGCGAAGTGGAGTGGAGGGTGAGTTATTGATGACAGAATTTAAATTTTTGGTGAACTATTCTATACTATAGGTAGGCAGCAAACTAGGTTTTGGAACAGAGCAAATAGTGCTGTCGGGACTTAGCCATTATTCAGTCTATATGCTTACGCAAATATTAAACAATATTTGTGCACGAACATGCACACGATTTTTTCATTCACTGCTCTCAGGGATACTTGATCCTGATTGGTCAATCGCAGCATTCTGCAGTCAAATATTCTTGTATAATTATGCTTTAGAGTATACAGGTGCATTTCAATAAATTAGAATGTCGTGGAAAAGTTCATTTATTTCAGTAATTCAACTCAAATTGTGAAACTCGTGTATTAAATAAATTCAGTGCACACAGACTGAAGTAGTTTAAGTCTTTGGTTCTTTTAATTGTGATGAATTTGGCTCACATGTAACAAAAACCCACCAATTAACTATCTCAACAAATTAGAATATGGTGACATGCCAATCAGCTAATCAACTCAAAACGCCTGCAAAGGTTTCCTGAGCCTTCAAAATGGTCTCTCAGTTTGATTCACTAGGCTACACAATCATGGGGAAGACTGCTGATCTGACAGTTGTCCAGAAGACAATCATTGACACCCTTCACAAGGAGGGTAAGCCACAAACATTCATTACCAAAGAAGCTAGCTGTTCACAGAGTGCTGTATCCAAGCATGTTAACACAAAGTTGAGTGGAAGGAAAAAGTGTGGAAGAAAAAGACGCACAACCAACCGAGAGAACCGCAGCCTTATGAGGATTGTCAAGCAAAATCAATTCAAGAATTTGAGTGAACTTCACAAGGAATGGACTGAGGCTGGGGTCAAGGCATCAAGAGCCACCACACA